TCTTTTTTGTTAATCATTACTACATTCTTCTTCCGAACCATTAACAAGGGTGAAGTTCAGAATATACTAACAATTTATAAACTTTGCCGTGCTTATCCTACTTTCACAGTTCTAAATTTTTTTTATTTTCAGGGCGCTGCAGTAGCTGTTTAATGGTATTTGAATTTTACTTCTGGAATATTCAGAATTTCCCTAAAGTCATGCTTATTTTTGTGAGTCACGTCGCATCTCGTAAACAATAACATACCTTAAAATAATTCACAACTTCGCAACAAAATTACTTGATCGAAATTTTTTGAAGTAGTACACTCGTTTACTATTCATCAATCCAACTCCTGCACAAGCCTGAGATTATGACAGAAAATGGAGCTAGAGATTATTGGTGGGATCTCTCATTCTTTATTTGAGATTTTCTTCAATAAATCCTGGGTTCCCTATTACATTGTTTAATTGATTTTATGTCATATTTAAATGAAGGGACCACCAGAACGTCTCCAAAATTCAGCCTGGAATTATAACTTTGAGAAACCTTAACCAGAACCTTTACTTAGAAAATAAATTCAGGAAATGTGCAGTCTCAAGTTAAAAAAAATAGAACACACACAACCAGTTCAGCCCATTTTCTATTTTTTTTTCTAGTTTTTTAGACGAAGTACATCATTCTTACTACCTTGTTATTTTATGTTAAGTAATAATTTGTCATGCATCTCAACAAGTTTGTCAACAATCGATTGTTCGATTTCAACACCTGCAGCTTTTTGTTCATCGTTCAAGCATATTGTCTCCTCTTTATCACCATTACTGACAAATATTACTCGCTCTTTCCTTGTATCCAGTATATTTCCAATTACTAACTGCAATAAATATGCTGTATGTTTTAATTAGTAAAAAATGAATAAACTCAAGATATAATAATCAGATGATCAATGAATGATAATGTCTAAGTGTATTCTTCCAACAACAGTAATAGTTTTATTGATCCATTTTGCCTGAAATTCGATTTCCATTTACAGCCTTTGTTCATGTGTATCTTTTCAGAAAATTCTGGCATTTTGAGTAATTAGAGATGAAAGGTATCAAGGTATCAAGTAGTTATCGTCATTTCAAACTTATTCTAGCAGTAGTTCAACATAAAGGCTTGTGAAGTCGTAAATTCATAAGACTGTCGCACCAGCCGGGATATTCATCTACATTTCTACAGAATCCCTTAAAATCATTTCAGATCTTTAATGGGATCGATTCACCTGATGTCCGTAATTCTGCAGTGCCTGACGCGCTTTACTAACCAATACCGTTTCATCAGTTTCCAGCTAAAAATTGAATATTCATCAAAACATGCAAAAAATTTTTGAAACCACCGCGCTTAATATTATACTAATAATTGAGGTGGGACGACTGATCGCTAAATTATGAACTAATACATACTCCACTCCTAAATTAGAGAATATGCGATTTGTTGAAATAGCTCCATCCTTAAGTTAGATGAATGTGAGCTTAAGCTACAGTGTGTTTAAACACAAAATAGGGTGCAGCGCTTTAAACTTTAAATTTTGCTATTCAGTATGTGATAATTTGATTGGTAATAGAAATGACCAAGCTCTTCCGGTCTTCCCATAAGTTTTCATGATAGGTCTATAAATGAAACAAGTACCTTAAACGAAACGACGAATGCTTTTGGCACAATATCTCTAACCAGTTTTTGCAAAATTTTAGGAACAATATTGAGCGACAATTGCAAACTTCCTTGATTTGAATGAATTTTGTGTTCTGGCTGAAATGATGTTTGAAATTCGTTCCAGAAACTAAACGTTCCAGAAATGTTGTTTTCCTTCTTGCACTTGAAGAATGAACCAAAGTTACAATTACAAGTTGGTAATGAGTGATTTTAAATCAGCGATATGAAAAATCGGAAATAGGTACTAAATTCTCCTCGGATATATAAAAATCCGAAACAGCAGCGGCAAGATAAATCAGAAGAGAAGAACCCAAAGACCGAAGACGCAGGCAAATCATTTCGAGAGTCATCAGATACGCGGATACGTCAACGAATGATATCATCAGGAGACGATCAGAAAGCTCACTATTTAACGTCAATGCTTCTAATAAACCCGGCATATTTTGAACTGCAATTTAGTGGAACATTTAAATCTTCTGAGTCTTGAGAACCTTATGAAGAGTAAATTATGAATACAAACACAATTTCCGACACCCGGAAAGTTTTACGAAATAAGTTCGAAATCATATTTTTGTTATCCTGGGGAACTTTTTTGTGAAGAAAGGCAGCAGTAACTCCGTATTATTTCAACTCTGGACAGTGGGTTAATTATTTCTATATCATCTAATAAAAGGGGATAATCAAACAAGAGATGGATATCATGAAATCTACTTTAAAATACATTATGCTTAGACCTACATACCGACATGATTTCCATCAATTATAAGGAAAAGAATGTAAAGCAATATGATTAACAAACCTTCGATCTTGCCTGAGTTATTCACAACTAGGTGATCAAATAAATTACAGAACTTTCGTCTGAAAGGCTTCAGAGAATTATCTCGGTGAAAAAATATCACAGCATAGCCTTTCATCAAGAAATACCTGAAATTAACTATTATCGATTAAACTGTCTAGATGAAAAGTTCCCCTCGAGAGAACACAGCATTCCGAGCAGCAGTATTGCAATACCGACGGTCTGTGAGTTACTTGAGATAAATGAATCTGCATTATACATATGCATAACTACGATTGCATTTATAATTAAATTAAAATTGTTTAAAAACAAAAACAGAAACAAAGACCTGAAAATTTGCCTTTGGCCCTCATTATAAAATACACCAAAAGGACTCACTCAGCACTAGCAGCACCTCGTGTACCCATAGAAAAATTGTCAATATATCGAACCACCTTTTTTTCCAATGGTACTCTGGTACCACCACTCTATAACAGTTCCAGCAATAAATTACATATACATATAAAGGAACCCCAAACCTAATTCCTCATCTGCCGACTAGTGTTGAATCAATGGTACTAGCATTTTTTACTTATCAATTTTGATATCACATCCTCAAGCTTAAGTTCTTAAGATTAGAGTTTTAAAGAATTAGTCTGCTGAAATATTCCGTTAAACAAAAATTCAAGGAATCTATGAAACAGTGGTTGAAACACAGGTCGGAATTCAAAAGCTAACCGTAATTAAGACAAGTTTCCTTGAGTTTTGCCGAACAAAATCATCAATTAAAGAATCGACAGATACCATTGTTCATATATCGGATATTTTCGAGAAAATGAACATCAAGGTGTCACAGGTCCATGAGATCCGTTTTCGAGTACTGGTTATCTTTTAATTATTTTCTGCTTCCTACCTCCCATTTTCATTCTATTTATTAGGAAAAAACTTTCACGCGATAAAAACTTGAATCTTTAATCAAATGATAAATCCTACCGAAGCAGTGGGATTTCTAATTCCGTGAGATCCTCTCAGTCACGAACGATCAATTTTATTTATTATGTCCAAAAATTTACTCAAATTTCTTAAGTGTGACACATCCTCTACAAAGGGCACTAATGCACTCAACTCAAAGAGATGAAATGAGGTAAAAGAATAAATTCTCCAAGTCTAAAGAAAAATTCAACTGTTTTAGCGAAAAAGTAACAGCATTAACTTGTGAACTTCCCATCAGTCAAAACTTCTCTAAGTTCACAAATAAACATCTGAACATATTTTATACATATATAATGAGAAACAACACAAAATATAAAACTGCCTTTCAGGCATACTTCGGGCATGCTCTTTTTTAGAACGTGTTAGTTGCAAGCTATAGCAATTCCGACAAGTTATCTCTGTAAGCGTATTTCGCAGTGGATTTGTTATTCTTCAATTACAGAAATAAGAAAAAATTTTCTTCAAACTCAAAGAAAATCTTTTACAAAGCAAGGATCTCATTAACCTTACTTTTTCACTTTTATACTTTTTATTTCCAACATGGCAAGGTCAAGAAATCTCTCCTGATACTTCTAAAGTTGGCGGACCGATCGACGCTTCCTTACTGCTCTCTGGGTGATGACCTTGTGCTAGTTTTTCGGTTTCTTCATCAGTCGCCGCATTAATGGCGCTTTTTGATGAAGTAGTAGATAAAATGTCGACATCAGCAGAAGCGGCAACAGTATTAATCGCATGCTGTTGATGTTCAGTAGTTATTAACTGCGGCGATTGTACTTCATCGGTTGATTTATTCTTGGGTGAAGGAGATGAATCGCCTACAGTTAGACGATACAATATTGGTGTCTCTTCTGCTAGCTGCTCTCGTTCTACTACTGAAAAAGATGAAACAAAGGAATTTTCGGTCCATTCAATTTCTACATGTAACATTAAATCAAATCGGTTTTAACATTTGACTTGATAGAACATTAAGTTATGATCAGTGATGTTTAGCCGAAATTGTTCAATTCAAACTGAGCTTTCACCACCTCTTCTGTATTGAGTATCAGTATTTGTAGGAACAACGGAAGAGAAGACTTGTTCATAAAATTTTAAGCGTGTTCTATTTTTAGCTAATGAAATATGCTGTTTCGACTACTTGAGATTTCCGAATAGTATTAGAAACACAACTTACTTTGCTTTGCACGCAATGCTTCCTGTTTAACTTTGTAGTCTTCATATGCATTCAGTAACTTCTCCGACCAATCACCGACCATAGATGCATATTTTGCTTCATCGAGCTGTAAATAGTTTCCCTATGCAGAACAAAGTATATACAATCAGTTTCCCTCAGGACACCTTTCTTTGGATTATAAAATGTAAGAGAAACTACAAAATCCATCGATTTTAAACTGAATTATAAATTCGATTTCTTAAAGAATCCAAACAATAAAAAGTTTGAATGTATTCATCTAAAACTACTTTATCATTTTTGAACATCTCCGGAGTTTGTAGAAATTAAAAATGAAGAATGACGGACAGTAAAGAAACATTTGATGACTACTGACCTGAGGTTTTTCTTCACACACTTTTTTCAATTTTGCTGCAAATTCTTCTGATGCAATTTCCATTGAACGCTTTTTGGTTTGAAAAATCTCGCTCAGTTTCTTGAGTTCCTCTTCAAGCTTACCCTGAAACTTTACTGCTGGAATTATTAAGTTTCATTCAACTAGTAATGCCGATTACTGCTCTGAAAAAACATGAGGTGGTAACCTTATTTTCACAATTCAGGTATGATAGAATTCGTTTCAGAATAATAGGAGGTCTTTACTTAAGAGACGGCACCATAGAGAATCGCTGAATACATTTCTAAAAAAAAAACCGAAGATAACACACGCATTACTGAAATTTACTTGGTGCAGAGCCAATGAAGTCGCTTGTTTCTTTAGCATTTCGATGCGATTCTGAGCAAGAACCGTTCGAGTATCAGTAACAACGTTGCCACTAAAAAGATCCGCTATGAGGCGATGATTTCGATCGAATCTGTAACAAAAAATAAACAATATATTACGTTTTAGATTAACTAACTACCTTTACTCCCAGGAACGGTCACCAGTTAAGTTCCAGAAACCTACAAACCTAACGGCAGCAATTCGGCGAGAAGATAGATCACCGAGTTCTTCATCTTCCACTGGCTGAATAACGACGCCTCCTGTATCCAAACGTCCGCGACTAGCTGCAAACTGTATTAACTCAATGAGCGAATGATAATTTATCTTTGTAAACTGATTGGCTTATGAACTCCATTGCGGCAACTCAACTTCCAATAACTTCTTCGTCATTCCACTACGCAAAAAATTTTCGACATCCTGGCATTTCCGACAGTTTTCGGCAATAAGTCAGTATGAATTGAATATGCGATAGTACTTCATACTCTAAATTGATTTTTCGCTCGACTATAAAGTCAGAAATTTCTAGCAAAGAAAACTTAGCAGAAGTCAGAAAAACTGGTAGCTAGCCAAATTATCTAACCAGCAATTACACCCCCAACTGTGTTTGATTTGTCGACGACTTTTGCTCGATTTTTTGCTGACAAATATTGTTGATAAGCAGCCGAGTTATGATAAGCTTTCAACGCCTTCTCATATTCTTGTCGTTCAATGTCATATTCCTTCAAAAATGGAAACTTATGAACTGAAACTTGAACAAACAAAAATCGAACTTTAATCGTGTATTACTGCTCATTAGGTAAAACACTGGAGATAGAAACAGAAACTTTATAGCAAACAACCTGATGATATATAGCTTTTTCCGATTCCGGGGCATCTCGCCACATCTGGCCAATCACTTTCCCGATATCCCATAACTGACTGTCTGGATTTTCAGCGCGCACCTAAATGAATGTTTTTCCAAATAAGTTACCATCTATTTACCAGAGGACCGTTAGAAAAGATACACGAAGAAAAATTCGCTAATATCAAAGGACAGAGTGAAATATATAAAATGACTTGGCACCAGGAATGTGAAGTTTCTAGCAAACATCCTTACTTTGGCCCACATTTTTCGACTGAATCTCATGTAGGGAACCAATGGACGATCTGGTGGTTTCGGTGGTTTAAGCGAATTGCTGTCATTCTGAAAGTAAATACAGCCTCTTAGTAATACGAAGGAACAACATCAACGGTCTCCTGCCTGTTTTCTTTCCGACAAAAAAGTTTCAAGTTTATTTCCCGTAGTTTTTACAGCAATCAAAAAGTTTTTTTTAACTACTTTTTTAATTGCGTTCTTAAACGAAAAAACTTATTTCTAAACTAAAAAAGCATAAAAGATGATGCGAAGGAAAATGACATGCCTGACTTGACGGTCGCGGAGGTGGATGTCGAAACATGGCGATCGTTGGTGACCCTGGAATACTCAACTCAAAAATACTTTACAAATACACCATGGACCTAGTCTCAACCACCAACTGCTTCCTCCACACGTCCCTCCTCCACCAACTTTTAAACCAACAACAATCATAAATGAAACGCAACGGGATCGCTTTGCGAATTTTGATGTCTCAACAGTTTTCAATAACACAATTTTCCTTTGATTGCATAAAAGTGTCAGGTCGATAGCCGTAGGTTCAATTTTCGGTTGAGTTCGGGCAAGGTAGTCGTGTTCAGCTGATCCCTTCTTTTAATAGTAAGCTGAATTTGAGATGTTAATTGAACTCGCATCTCTGATCTCTTCCCCTCCTCACTTGACTATTCGATGCTCAATACTTGTAGCCCTAATCTAGAACAGGATATCCAGAAAAACAGATTTGAATTCCCTATAATTCACATATTGATTGATCGAGTCATTTGGCTATATCTTCTACTCCAAAATATCTTCCAGTTTTGCTTTAAATCTGGAAGAATACGTTCCTAGTACGTGAACGCAGCCCATTTCCAACCGAGATATGATTGCTGGAATCAAAGTAATCAACATGAATACTAAAAGAGGAAAGAAGGAGAAAGAAGAAACTGACAGCTTTATGGAAGTCTGTTCTTAGAAATATCTTTATATGTTGTAGAAAAATGAATTTGCTAAAAATAAAAAATCGGAACATTTTATAGCGTCGAAAAAGTTGCCTGCAGTGGAACATTTCGTCGAAGAGTTCCAAATGAAAAACAACAAAAAAGTAAAGAGAATCAGGGAGAGTAGGTTCAATTACTTCTTATCAGAGACGAAATGATAAACAACTTCCGGAAGGTTGCATCAGTTTTTCCGCAAATTCAAAATATGCTGGGACTAAATTTACTAATTTACTGTCGTCATATTCGGGTAAAACTAATTTGTTTTCTAAAACTTTCCAGATAAACGGATACACGCTTCATCAGAACCTACCTCCGGAAGACTATTCACTTCTCCATACCTGTACAAAATATTGGCGCTATTTTGTTTCATTAAAATCAAGAGATTTTGATGTCATTCCTGTTCCTGCCTTTTATATTTTCAGCTTTTGTTAATTCATCTTTTGCTCGCGTTGCTCAGTTTCACCTCTAAGCAGTATTTCTTTCTTCTCTTCAGTAGATTGAAAATTCTTTTTTGTTTTATAAATTTATTTGAGATATGTTTAAGGTAGCATTTATTATAACCTTTGAACTTCTCATGTAACAATTAACACAGCATTGCTCATTAAAGGAACAAGAAAAAGAAGAGGAGGAACGAGAAATTCGATGGCACGCAAACTTAATGAGTTAATTCTTTTAAATGTGAATCTATAAAAATGATTTGGAATTCGTGAGAAGTAGACAGAATTTTTGTTTGCAGACTAGAAGATTCTTCTACCGACAAATTTGCGCCAACAGTTTTTAACAAGTAAGCGCAACATTGAAACCTGTCGCAAAATTTGCATACTTTCGAAAAGTAAGTTTTTCAGTCATTCCTCATTATGTCATCAATTAAACTAAATGAAGGAATGGATCCTCCCCCGCCTTACCACTGACTCCTACTCTTCATTACAAATTGTACTTGGTTTAATCAAAATTATTTGGCTCTTAATGCAATGCTGGGACACTACTAAGAAAATTGACACAAATTATTTCAAATATCAGAGAAAAGCCTGTAAACCACTACCATTGAGTTACGTCGGGTACGCCATCAGCGACACCATCCGCTACATAATATTTTCAAAAATTTCCTTTTTTAAGACAGTTCCTCAGAAGTCACCTCTAAAAGCTTAATTCACTGATTTGTAAGAATACATTCAACAGATAGATACTTTCAATGCCCTCCATTATCGATCGGTAAAGAGGACAGAATTGTCAGCAACAACGAATGTTATGTTTCGTGTATTCCCGCCAGTTTGACGTTCTTTGATATACGTTCAGGAACACCATTTTGATATATCTCATTTAAAACATAAATACAACAAATGTGTGAAATAATCATTGAATTTATTTGAAACTGATTCGTTTTTAGAAGCATCTATTGTCCTGATGTATAATAATTTAACATCATTCCATCGACTCGAGTACTTATTCTTTATCAATAACTTGTAATTTGGCTAATTTATTTTTAAATTAAATAAAATCAACCAAGTTGTGTCATATGTTTCCTCACGGTGCAGAGTCCTTTTCAGTTGAGCTGAAAAATCAGAACCGATGATGATCACTCCATTTCAGACATGGTAGAGCCGTAGAATCGGGTTTTTCTATACATTACGCAAAACATTTCAGACATGGTAGAGCCGGAACTGGAAATACGGTTGATAAGTTTTTAAAAAGGTAAAATTTCTAGATTTCCTGCATCTTTCATATGAGGAATTAAATTCATACAGTGAAAAACATGCAAATCTCATACCTAGTAAAGCATGGCTTGGTTAACTTCGACAACCTTTCCGTTGGACTAATTGCGCACTATTCTGACATTTTTGAATCTAATCGGGTTTTTCTATACATTACGCAAATGTTTTGACAAAACATGTGCTATTTGTGTTACAGTCTATATTTCAGAAGAAATCAAGCACATCTAATGAACCAATCATTAGTCCAAATGCTCCTGATAAGGCAAAGGAAGCATTTGTTAGAAGGTTCTTGCTATGTCTCAATTTAATCTATTATCTTCTACTAATCCTTCATAGATCATGCCTTCCGATTCTTTATCTCCCTCTTCCATTTTCACTCGCACATCTTTTATTTTTGATCAGATTAAATTTTGACGAGAATCATTGTAAGATATTTGCGTTTGCAAAAAATCACAAGATTCTTTTTCGAAGCATCAGTACCACCTAGAAAAGTTTCAATTCTAAGCTATCATGCTCATAATTCAGATTGCAAAATAGATTTCTTCTTTAGCGCATTATCTTATTTATGAAGTATTTTTGACTATGAATTAGTATTATGTAACGAAAATAAGGAAATAGGTAAAACCATTTAGATTAATTGTACAACTTCATAAATACCATATGCCATTTGCAGGAACGCAAACATCTTCGATGATTTATCAACAAAATAACGAGTTTTGAACAATTTTACTAAATTAATCCAATCTGTCAATGTCTTACAATGAGATTGCGGGATTCATATTTACGAGATCTTAAGATGAAGGCTTTCAGAGATTGGTAAAGACTAATGTTGCTTTCAATTTAGAGAGCTTATTGAATTAGAGAATTGCATGTTCTCTAACTTATAAACATTTTGTTGTCTTCAAGATTAAATCAAATAAACCCTTTTTTTTCAGCTTTTTATTTTAAAGCGTCGAACATCACAAGAAGTTGTAGACGTCGTATCCGTATCGTACGTACATTTTGTCAGTGTGCAAGAAATTATCATTTTCTAATTTTTTGGATACTTGTAGGACACATCGACAGCGAAGCAACTGTGTTCAGAAGAATCTCGAAAACAAGTAAGAGAGAAAGAGAAGACAGTGGACACGAAGCGTTTACTTTTTGTAACTTATTAGACATACCGAAGAAAAAAAAACAAAAGCTGAAGTGTCGCAACTTCTTTTTCAATGACAAATGGCAATAAGCGAAAATGATGTTTTACTAAATTATCTTTAACTTCTCTTCACTTGTTTATTCCAAAATTTTAATTTTTCCTCAAAAGCAAGTCTCATCGTTACGGTCTTCTACCACACATATCTCTGAGCTGAAAACCCCACAGAAATGGAGCACCTTTTTTCTGTCAGAATATTTCTTTAAAACAATACATAGAGATTGGGACTGTTTAGTGAGATTTAAAGATGGAACGGAACCTCTCTGTCACCAGCGATATGAACTATTTTGATACAATGGCAGTATCCGTATATCAAAGAAAGGATCCGGCGAGCTAGAGAGATCGAAACAACCGACTAAGGTAGCAACATTAGAGACGAAAAATGCTATAGAAAGTTTAACAAAATAAGCGCTACCACCGAAAAAATATTTCTTTCTTCTTCCTTTCCTACAGTTGAACCGGTTACTTGATGATCCTACCCTTCGTCCACTCCAAGTAGTCACTCTCATTACTTACAAAACTGAAAGCATCGACAGTTGATTAATGCTATAGGAGTTTTTCCAGATTTTGGAGTGTGTGCTATTAATGGTCTATCACTTCCACTGTATATGGAAGTGATAAACCATTAATAGCACGCATGAAACTCCTTTACTTAAGTAAACCGGAACACCCAGAAACAGCATTTTTCATTGACAAGCATTGCAAATATACAGCAATAATGAATTGATGTTGGAATATTTGAAAAATATAGCATCAAATAAATTTACCGCAAATGTTTAAAGCGTGGCTTGGTGTACGTGGCGTTGTTTGCGTTGGTGTATTAGCGATGGTGTATCAGGTGTATCGACAGTAAGTATTAATATTTCAAGAGATTATGTCATTCGAGCTGGTTGTTTCAAAAAGTACATTTCGAAATCAAGATCAATTTAAAATTTTACGTAATTCCAATTAACTGAGGCAACTCCTGAGATATTATTTTTCTGCATAACAGTGTTACCACCTCAATTAATTACAGCAATCATTATTGCAAAGTGATTTTTGACTGCGAATCGGTTGTAGCATTTATTGCGAAAAGTGGAAGAAAGCGACATACACAACAAAAAGACTCAGCGGTGAATGGACCAGAATCCGTAATTACCTTACCATAAGACACTTCGAAACGAAAAGAAGATGAAATTAAGGTAGATCCATTGATCAACATCTAGTACGGGATTAGTTGCTTTCAGCAAAAGTAGAACAAATTCATGTTTATATTTCTAGGTTTCTTGAGGATGTTTTACGTTTAGTTCCTCTCTTCTTCTTTTACAGTTTGGTTTTGTTCCGTGTGTTCCGTGTATTGAGGCAATTTGCATCGAAGCCTTGAGGGGTTTTTCTTTTGGAATAACAAGCCTAACATCACATTTTGAGATGAGATTAGGGATACGTCTAGATTCCACACTTAATACTTTCTACCATTATATAATTGAGATATCGACTTAACACTTATTATTCTTCCCATGAATAATATCTTCTGATCATTCAAAAAACATAACCTTGAAAAGAGTACTCATGCTTTCAGAGCAAAATCTAATCGAAAAATACAATGAAACTATATGGAAATTCATTTTTAGATGTAAACTAAAGATAAATGCGTGATATCAAGAATTTCTGTGAAGAGTTTACAATATATCCAAAGGATTAATAAGAGTACGAAAAAGTATATGACACGTGGAAAGTTTCAAACTTATTTGTTGATGCAAAATATTTCGCTAGGGATTGTCTCAGCTTAAAGGCATATGTTTCTATGTTTGCAATGAATGTTATTTGTGTGTTTATTATTTAAGAAACACATATTTTATTATTAAATAAAACAAAAATTTCGAACGAATGGAGTGAAATATCTAGTTCAAGAAGACTTATTCAGTGTTGCTTTGAACAATAACGCGACATCCAATCAAAATTCCAATCTTCCTGAAAAAAGTGATAACTACTAATATATACCAACAAATATTCGGGAATCCACTTTCCGTCTAATGAATATTGAAGAATTTCTTTGAAATTCTTAACTTTCCATAGTATTTTTGCAGTGCAATTTCTTGAAAAGTTTAGAAAAATCATATGAATGATCCGTTAAATTGGTGAAAAAGATGTTGGTTGAACACAACAAGCAATACTTTATAGGTCAACGAATTGAATAAGTCGCGGAAGAGTTGCCGAATAAACAAATAATCAGGTTTATCTTCAAATTTCAAGGTACGGCAGTAATTGAGCACTGTTGCGAACTCAGTCGGCAATCCATGACAAAGAGTCTGCAGCAAATGGAATGAGAGATAATCGAATGTAGCTTTTAACATTCGATTCCAAAAGAACGGGTAATTGAATATTGTGGAGATGATTCTTCCACTATTATAGATGGCCAATAAAAGTTTGTAACCTGATTAGACATTGATATAATTTGAACAGTTTGTCAGGAATAACTTTTAATGAATTTCACAAAGTAAATCTTAACTGACATTTAGCAGATGCTGATTTCAACCTCGATGTTTAAGGAAAAACTAACCTCTATTGAAGTCGATGTTTTGATTTTCAAAACCTGTTCAAGTTCGTTCGAGTTTCCATATATTTGCCAAGGCAAATTCCCTCTGAAGCTGTTTCTACACAAAAACAGAAAGGAAAATATTTTGCAATAATTTCGAGTTCACTGATTAACTTACTTGAGAAAATATAAAAGTATATATATATAAGATTCTAGATCATCTCGTCTGGATGCAACTGTGCCTAAATGTCTGTTAAGAGATGCAAAATAAGATGAACCAAAAAATTCCTGAAATTATAGAGCATGATAATTTTTCTTAAATTCTCAGAATCAAATAACATTTAAACGTCCTTTAAAACTAACCTTCAAAGAGTTCATAACTTTACGAAAGATGCTACAACTATTAACCTACTATATTCTCTCCATACGGAATATGTTTGCGACATCCACCAGAGATTTTAATATATTTCGATGCCAATTTCATAGTTACTAAGTAAACTTTAGCGATATTCTCTTCGATCCCCACCACAAAAGTATCTGACTGAAAAACTTATTACACTTATCTTGATATGAGTATTATTGCGGAATAAATGACCATAACCGAAAGTGTAACTTGATAAATTGATTTTAAAAGCACAAAAGCACCTTTGAGTCAACAACTGCTCGGTTCACCAGTCATTCGATTCATCAGTCATTTTTTAATAACGGCGATAACAAATTACTTTGGTCATTGTTTCACGGAAAGAAAAAAGTGGTTCTATCTCTCACAAAGTTAAGTCATATTTAAGTCAAGAATCATAATAAAGAGTAGCTATTTAGGATTAAAAAAGTCATACAGTAAGATCGCGATGAACATAACCCGCATCGTGGAGAGTCTGTATTCGATCTAACATTTGATCAGCAAGCATTAGAACTGTTTTCAAACTAAATCGTCGGTTGCAGTAGATGAAAAGCTCTTCCAGTGCAGGACCAGTGAGATCCATAACCATTGCCTTGCATCCATCAACTCTTCCAAACCTGAAAAAAGCAATGATATTTACTAATCACATTCAGATCCTATTTCATACTTAATATGTTTTTTTTCATTATGGACGGAAACTAACCATATCTGCATCCGTTACCTTCAGTGTGAAGCACCAATATCTTTGATACATACTACTCGTTACTTCACTATTGAGAAGGATGAGTAAGCATGTATCAAGTCGCTGTTACAATACGTATTATGCGCCTTTTAATGATAACAGGTGGAGATGACGGAATGCTGAATGGTAGTAATTTCATCAGTACCATATCAAGTGATTGCTAACAGAGAGAAAAAGTGGAGAGTGCTTGAAACGAAAACGGAGAAAGATGAAATGAAGAATTTTGGTGATTCCGTGAGCATGAAATATAGTTCATATGCAGGGAAGTTAAAATACTTAAAAATGAATCTCCTGAATGGCAAGTCATATGTAACATTACTCCTAATCTATGCCAAACTAGTTCAAATTTAAAATCTCACCAGTAAACATGTGGTGTTCCTCTCCCGTGAAGATTTCTGTAAACAGCATGCTCCTGTTCCAAATTATTCCTTTCTCCCTTGTTGTACTGTAATTACAATATGAAGAAACAATGCATCTACTCATACAATGTAGTTTACTTTCAATAGAATAATTAGAAATCTTTCTTAATAATCAATCATGAGAATGAAAATTTGAAAGAAAAAAGTGGAAATTAAGCTTTCAACACATCAACTGATAGCAGGTGAGACGAGTCCAACGTCAAGAAAGGCCAAGGAAAAGTTAAGAAGTATTATTTATAGCAAATATAAAAGCAAACAACGACCAGATGCGGAAAAAAGGAAAAACAAAGTTGAATTTATAACTGAACACCTGGTAACCATCAAGAAGTCTTCAAAATTAAACTTCAAAATCAAACAACTAAACTAACATCCCATAGGTAGAGATCTTATAGGTTGTGATAGAGATCAGGTCATGAAAATTCGAGTAAGAGTGGATAAAGATGTCATCTGTTTCATTCCATGCCTTTACTGATTAAAATTTTAGTACTAATATTTGTATTCAATAGCTTAACAAAGAATATATTTATGACATTACTACTCAATTATTTACGTGAATTTTACAGTGGAATATCATATCTGCAATTCAGACCGCAATGGTTGACGTAGTTGCAAACGATGCCGCAAGCAATACTTTAAATCTTTATCAGTAGTTCCATTAAGAAATATCAAAACATCTGGAGTGATCTCTAGGTGCTAATTATCTCATTATTAGCACTTACGAAATTACTTCAGTATAAATCTCAAATCTCATAAGTGCTAATTACAAATTTCATACGTGCTAATTATTTAATTGCACTTGTCTTCAAAAAGTGATCAAAGTAAAATAAGCTACAATGTTCATTCACAGGGTTAAGCATTCATTATATTTTGATGAAGATTAGAAAAACATAAATGAATCAGGAATGTTTCTCCACACTGTGATAAAACGCAACACTCAATCGCAAAATTTTCCTTTACTCATCTAAGTCTCAATAAATGGTCAAACTACTGTTGCACCAACATGTTCATAGATAGCCTGAGAGTATCACGACCATCAAGATAGTTCCTATTCAAATGTTTTCCACTTACAAATGAAACCTATTCTTTAAAAATCTTGTATAGCTTTGGAAACATTCAGTCTCTTAAGCATCAAATCGAAGAATTCAATGTCTTTTTCAGCGACAAGGAGGAACTCTCCCATTCAATACATCCGATATATCAAGTTTTTTAATACATTGAAGAAGTTAGTGATTCTACCAAGTCAGACGTAATCACTATTTGTTCCCACCAAACTTGCAGCCAGAAGTGGCACGATCATAATGTATCTGAAGCATACTGCTTCTTGTATGTCCTCACATGTTGTGATCTTCAACCGGAAATTTCAATAAAGTTAAAAGCAATTGTTAGGACTAGCTCAACTGCATCTTCTTAATTGTCTTATTAAAGTTTCCACGATAAAAACAAAAAGTCATCATAATTATTTCGTAGATCCTTTGGCAATTATCATGCCGCCTTCTGTGTGTGGACAAAATCCAACAAAAGGCATTATTTTATCAGAATAACGTATTACGGTAAAAATATTGTCTTGTGTTTTAATATTATCATTAATGTGATTACCACTAATTTGCTGACTTAATTACTATTCTGTAATAAAACTATTCTGTAATAAAAGTAAACTATTAAGATAGCCTCATTCAAAAGCAAAACTATTTGACGACTACCAAATTGATTTACTGCCAGTTGGTTATGATTTATTTGTGGAGTTTTGGAGATTAGTGAATTGTTTCTTTCTATTATGTTTTATTCTCCTACTTGAAACACGAATCAAAGTCGAGTGTTATCAGCTACCTGACCTGCTGCTTCGGTCCGTCTTTTGTTGAAAATTTCTTCCACTTTCACGGCCACATAACGTCCATCAGAATGACGTATGCCAACGAAAACCTTCTTAGATCTTTGCTCATTCAATAAACGAAACTCCCCATAACTTGCATAAAAACTATCATTTCTTAGGGCAACTTCCATTAGAGACACGAGTAGACTTCAGAACTGAAAGTGTGTGAACCGTAAATTTTGAAAGTAAAACAAATCATTTGTATTGCAGTAGAAGCTCATATATTAACGCACTCTGTTGTAATGGAAGTTCCGTTAACCGCCGCATATCCTTGAAATGAACTTATTATTACCTAACTTATCCCTTAATGTAATTTATCTCTTAACTTGGCAGCTTATCTCTTAATGTTCCATAGAGAAATACAACTTTTGATTCCGAGTATTTTTATTAATATGAGTAGAAAATTCCCCGTCAGCTACCGTTTCTTTAACAACAGTCATTAAACCGACACTTTAACACTAGGCAAATACATAGCCCAGACCACAATGCCAACTTTACAAGTTATGTGAGATAACTGCAAAAAGACCGGGCTAAACACTCATCAACTTTTGGAAAATTCCTACACATTTTGTGTACATTATAAAACGTCCTACATTATTACTTATCACCACTTTGTTACACCCTATGCGAGCTCAGGATCCCAACCGGTGAATAATCCCGACATCAACCACACCTATAAACCAATGAGTAATTAAATAACGCTGATTGTGCTGAACCCTATTACTTCAGCATAAAAAAATGAGTTATATTTTACACTTTTTATAAGGCAATTAATAAACTTTCCACATACTGACATGCTCCATCCGACGAAAAATTAAAACAGATAGGGTGCTGACATCTCCCCAATTATAACACATACGATAAATGAAGTTTTCTTTGTTTTTCAAATAAACACGAATAACTCTACCTGCATACAAAAACTGTCTTAATGCTAATTTCCGGTTATTTCAGCTGACTGTGAAAGAATCTTACATTATCCTCTCTTGGTCAAATAAAATTTGAAAAAAAAAAACAAGACATTTCTTGACGCTGGTTATATAATGGAAGCACACACATTCTGTACATGATCATGATATTCAATAAATTTTTTTAGATCAAATTTAATTCTTGTTACAAAAGAAATTTTGAGTTGTTACCTAAGCTAATCATCACATTGTACATGTCTTAAATAAGTGATATCTGTAGCTCAACCGAAAACGCCACTTTGTACCAAGCAGAAAATCTAATTTAAGCCTTTGAACAAATAAAAGTCTCTTATAAAATTGTAATACATCCAGTTGAAGCAATCCCTCAACAAGTCAACAGAAGTCTGACCATCACTGCACTCGCAGAATCAAATTTACAGATTGGTCCTAATTTTCTGGAAGTACTTACATTCTGTGCTCCTGAAATTATTGGAGTGATATCTTTATAAAATCATCAGATGTTACTCTTGATTCTAGCAATGAAACACTAGGAGAAAAAACGACAGAACTTCTGCGAGAACTTTAGATAAAATCATGTGAAAACACTTTTCAATCAATAACTGGACATTTGCAATAATTGTGGTGCTTCCAGCAATTGACACGTTTTCTCTCAGACACCCGGAGCAGTGCCCGATTGCGCGCCACCTTGTCCCGAACCAGCCAATGCAAGTGTTGCTGCTGTATGCTGCGCCGCTTTCTGTTTCAGCATCGTCCAATCAAATGTATAATCATACTGCAAATAATGACGCTTTGTATTCGATTTCAATTCAGTCGTTGAGATAAAAATAATTCCATTTCTCAGAAAAGGACGAAGGTTGAATCGTTCTTCACCCTTAGAAAATATGAAATCATACAATAGACTTCAAAGCAGGAAAGACTTTCAATAATCACAACCTAGAGAAAAATCATTCTACTGTATTCCCAGTGTACCCCATTCTACTGTATTTTTGCTGCATTCCATTTTATTGCATAAAAGCCATTCTATGTATTCTGCCTTTGCAGGCAGTTTTGTAAGAGAAACTTAAATCTTTTAATTACCTGATGATTCAAAGTTCTAAACAAAATGCGGAACAACTGCCGTAAATACATGTAATCCGGTGCTTCATCGAATCGCAGACCGCGAGTATAATTTAAATACATTGCAAATTCGGCCGGAAATCCTTTGCATAATACCTACAACTAACAGAAATACTTAGATCTCCTTTATCCAATTAATTCGTTGGTGTGAAGATGCAATAGTCAAATAATTTGTCGAACATATAACCACTGTGTATTTACCTCAACGGGTGTAGACATTTTCTTTTCGCTGATTTTTTCATACTTTTGTTTCTTTGTTGCAGCTTTCAAGCCTTGCCATGGAAGTGTTCCTCTAGAAAAACAGTTTTGAAACTTTTGATTTCAACAAATAGTTCTTTTAACAACATTCGGTAATCAAAGAAAAGCGTTATACAGATTTGAATCTTAACTAACTTATTGAAATACATCAGAACATATCCAAGCGATTCCATATCATCTCGTCGTGACTGCTCAATCCCCAAATGTGCATTGATTGATGCATATCGAGCTGTTCCCGTCAAATTCTGAATTTATCATTCGGTTGATTCAACTATCCCTTTTTAGACAGAAAATATAAAATAATGAAAGTTTGGTCAAAAAATATTTTCAATAAAGAATTCCTGCATCTTCTCGAATTATAATTCTGTACCTTATCTTCTCGATACGGGATATGTGCTCGCGTACGTGAGTCGCGATATTTTTTAGCCAAACCGAAATCAATTAAAAATAATTTATTGCAATGTCGTCCTATACCCATCATGAAATTATCAGGCTGAAATCACACAAATAAGAACTATTCTAACAAAACTAATATAACTAACAAATATAACGATTAAAAGGTCCTAGATGATTACATAGTTTCAAATCAGCGCCTTATCGTCTCGATAGTTAAGGCAATTAACTTCCGCCACAAGAAAGGTCTATTAAACAACCTAGAATTCATACTTCCACCGAGAGTAACATTTCAAGATGGTATTTATAGGTATGTTAAGGTAACTAACTTTTCCGTTTGTTGCAAGAAAGAAAGTTGCGTGTCTTAATGAAGTTCCAAGCTATGCTAATGATGGCATATGTCTCCGGTAGGGTCTCCCATGCCAAAAAGATATCAACCAAAGATCAGACGAAGTGTGTCCACGGACAAGATGGATGGGCTCGCTAGCTACCCGGTAATCATCTCAGAAGAAGGACAACTCCAACCTCAAACTCGGGCAGATGGAACTCGCTTACTAATCTCCGAGTAAAAGGTGAAGCCAGTTCCACATCAGCACAGCTACTAGTTACTTAGAAGTTAGCCTCAGTTAAAAAAATTTACCGTGTAGGTTGGAAAAATATACCCACATTTGTAGCGTTTGAAACAAGCGTGGATAGAGTTCTTCCCAAAGCCTGGCCATGATGATAAAATTAACTCAACAACTTCATGCTCATCCGCTTTTTCTATTTTTATTTTGCTAAGATCAAAACGTCCTGTAATATTTTTGCTCACCCGCAATTTCGGTCAGAAGCACAAAAGACGCTATTGTTCTGACTCTTCAGAAATAAACGCTCACTGAAAGAGATCTCTCGTAAAAAAAGCAGACCAAAATTGATCGAATATCTCCAGTAACTTGCCTTGATGTCCCTATGAATGAAGTTTTTAACATGAACATATTCAATGCGTCCAATCATTTGATCCGCTAGCATTAGCACGGTTTTCATAGTAAAACGACGGCTGCAAAAGTTGAAAAGGTCCTCTAATGAAGGACCTAATAAGTCCATCACCAGAACATTGTATTCCCGTTCCGTACCGTACCTAAAAACTGTGATAGAAATACCTCCCAAAGGTCGATAAGCTGTTCTAAAAATAAGACCTCGAAATGGGAAACCATCAAGTTTTCACTCAAAATTTGTCTTGACATTTCAAGAAATTGAATTTCGAAATATGCTTCCTCGAATCAAACAATCCACTAGCATCAATATAATTTTAATATCAAAGCATTCTCGCAATATTGACTGAAAGAATATTTACGCAACAGATTCTAATACTGATGGTTACTATTAAGTGCCTCACCAACTGGTGTAGATATAACAGTAATTTTCCAAAGAACTAGGAAAGATTCTATAGTATACTAAAATAAGTGAAATAGGATAACCAATTTCTGATCACTTCTCATTAGGTGATAGCAATAACATAATTTCACGAGGAATTATTATTTAAAAAAAATGAAACAAAGGTATACAAAATAAAGTATCGACTTTTACTGCCTTGATATTTAAATTCCGTAAAAATATAATACGCACCCAACATAACTAAGACAAAACAAAGAGCCTACCATCGTATATGTGGTATACCAACTCCACCCTGCAGAATTTTATATACTTTGCTTTCGTAAAGCAGCTGTGGATGACGAGCCTGCAAATTGCTTTTTTTAAAAAACCTTCGAAATTCCAGAAATTTTCTTTTTAAACCCACACTTTTTTGAAAGATATCATTGTTCTCCAATGCCGTACTTAAATCTAGTACAGGTAATTTTAAACAACCTTGCTAGATTCCATTTTAACAGCAACTTCTTCACCATTCGTGATGTTTATAGCCAAATATATGTCACCAAACGAGCCGGAACCTATCTTGCGGATTAGTTTATATTTTGTTGCAACAATGAAATCACGTGAATTGGTAGCAACGCCCGCCATTTTCGGGCCTAAAATGGTTCAAATTTTTGTCTAAACCCGAATGCATTCCAGGCGGAAATCATTTTTGCATTACACATGAAAGTCAAGATCTTACCGATTTCAAGGCGCTAAAAATCTAACAAAACTCCCATGATAAGTGGATCTAAACTTTAAATAATTTTATTCGACGTAAAAAACTTGTTTTTTTTTTTGTATTTGACCTGTGAGAATTTCAGGAAAGTTCATATTAGTGATCTTGATGCAGTTAGCTTACCCACAATGTAAATTTCTAATCATCACTCCATATATCTTCATGAAAAATATCGCTCAATCATCTAACTTGGCAGTAGTACGAGCTCCTAGCTAAAAAGAAAACCATATCTTACCTTATACACAGGGAAAAAAGTAACAACTAAAAAAAGTGCTAGGTAAAGAAGATTGTGGTCTATCCTTCCTCGTATTGAGAAATAAAAATCTATTGCAGTATTGTAACGCTCACTATCTTTATGCATAACATGCAGGAACATACCTATTTCTGTATTTCACAGTAAAAATGTTTTGGACATCAACTATCTGCCTCATCTATTCCCTTTCTTCTTACAGTTCAAAAAAGATCAAAGTTATGGAAATTTCGAAACTTATTAATCTCACTTAAAAAGTTATAAAGGGCAACTCCCTCTCACTAATAGCAACGTCAATTAGTCACACAGTCAAGAAAGATGCCTTTCTTATAAGTATCAAAATCAGATATTCTCTATAAAAAATCGATGAAAAGGATAATTGAAGCTATACAAACAATGTATCTCCTCAATTCTTCTATGACGCAGTATTACGATTCACATTATCCACCAAGTAACGACAGCGCTCCGATCTGAATTTCCCACGACTTACTCTCCCAACCACTCCAAAGATCCCAAACTGTAACACAACCAACTCAATAACATCGACAATTCTTAACGCGCAACGCAACCGCAGCGCAGCGTAGCATGCAACGAGCAGTGGAAACATAGAAGGTGTCGCGATGTTTCGGGGGAGGGGAAAAAGTTCAATCTCTGGTCTACCGGCACTCTTCGGGTATATCCGTCCTACTACGATGGATTTACTGAATTAAAATCGATGTCTAAATTTCTCCCTTTTCAGCTTTGCAGTGGCAGGATTACAGGATGTCTTCTGCATTCTCGTCATCCTGTCGTGCCACCAAAGGAAGTGCAGCTTACTATGACTGATAAGTTTATTCCTCGGCTGATAAGCAATGAGATTTCTGACTTTAATATGCTTCATCCAAGCTTGATGTACTTGCAATAAGTGCCGATACTAACATAGCAGGGTGAGTGTCAGTCTACAGCGCACTCGAGCTACTCTGGAATCGAACAAGCTCTAATTTTTATAACGGGAGGTGCTAAGCAGTAAGGTTCCTTTTTATTCACAGAGGCCATTCGCATACATTTCACGATTCCCAATGGCAATAAGATATTAGGTGCAAGAATGTAAGCTATCCGCCTCACTACTTTCTGATTTTTTCACATCATTCAGAGCCGTCCTCGACATCTATACCTGGCATTTTCATAACCTCAATATAGCCTCCAGTTCGTAGGTATTGTAAAAATTTATAGTTGCTTCATCAGATGCGAACAGTAACATTGGCTACTCAAGTGAGCGCATGGGACACCTCGGAAAAATTGCGCAACAGAATTACTTCTAGAATCATTAATAGGCTTAATGCAAAGTCTGTGCATATTCGCAGAGGATTATATCTCATGGTTATGCCGTTCGGTTGCACGCAGAAAGGCCTTCCATTTTGTCTGTGGCAGATTTTACAAGTATGGTAAATCTAGAGATATTTGGACAAGTTCAAATTTGCAACTCCAATCAAAGAAAGGATGGTTGTAAGTAATACACAAAGAAAATTTCTCGTTTTTTGCTCTTTTATGAATATATGTTCTATAAAGAAATACAGTCATGAAGTCTGAATCAATAAAAATGATCAGTGAGAAAACAGTGAGATTATCCATTCTAATCTTTGTTTATTTATAATTTTGGATTATCTTTTACGAAAAGTTATTATTCCCAGTACAACTTCGATTTATATTCTTGTGAGCGAAATTCCGGACAGTGGTTATGTAGGAGAATACAGAGACTGAATCTGTGGTCAGAGAATGACAAAAAGCAATACATTTTGAAAGCACGCCCGTAAAATGAATGAGATAAATGATAAAACAAAGATCGTAATCATCACTACTTTCTGGTCCATATAAAGTGATCAACAAAAAGCCGAGGTAGAGAAAGATAATATAACATAAAGAACTTGGTGCCCAAAACTGTTCAACAACCGTAATTGATAATTCTGCTACAACGTAGTTCATTGCAAAGGATTAATCAGTTAAGCAGAAACTCATGAGACATCCAACACTTTAGAGAAACACCTAAAGTTTCAGAGAAATACCTATTGCTACATGCAGATTTTGTAATCTCCTTTCATTCCATATTGTACTATTTCCTTGCAGTACAGAGTTAAATTTTTTTTCTTTTTGTTTGTTTAACTGGTACAGGTTTTCAACTTCAATGTTGCTTGGATCGACGCCAAATTTCAGAAAGGCATTCTTAACAAACAAATATAGTTAACCCATCACATGACTTCTTGAAAAATTAAATACAAAACACATAGAAACTTGATCCTTAAGCACTTAAAATTAGCATGAATTTAGTCGGAAAAACAATACGATGACAAAAACTGAAGAGAAAATTCAACAGAAATATATCTTGCAAATCAGCTGAGTCCAATTTTTTAAATTGTCTGCTATTTCCCCGCTTGTATACTCTTCTTCGGCGACCCGTTTGCAAAATGAGCCGAAGAAATCGTATTCTGTACTGTCTTCTGCTTGAATGTTTTCCAATCATATGCGAAATCGTACTGAAATAAACGACGAAGGCGGACTGTCTGTTGATAATTAGGAGAAAAATCTCATTTTTCCGAATAAAAATGACGAAAAAAGCACTTAGAAATGAAGACACAAAAAAGGACGGAATGTGAAACAATGCCCGATATCACTTACTTGATAATTTAGTTTGTCAAACAAATTGCGAAATAGCCGTGTAAGATACACATAATCCGGAGCTTCATCAAAGCGTAATCCATGGCAATGATGAAAATACATCGCAAATTCGGTTGGAAAGCTTTTGCAAAGAAGCTAAAAAACAATTCAGAAGTCTCAGAATATTCCGCGATATTTTAATTCTTTACTATGTTAAAAATTAAACATCAGGATCAAAAAGCAACTAGGTCGTTCGTGAAATACATATTCCAATCAGATTTATTTCAAGTCATAACGATGTAACTTTTTAAAGAAAGTTAGTGATGAATATCAGTTTGCTTAATTTACCTACTGGGAAGTCATCAATGATTCGAGCCCTTCAACTTTAAGAAACTGCTCAATTTTGATATTACTTATCAACTATTATTCCCGCACTATAATAAGATGTTAGGTAACATATCATGGGAGTAAGGAACAATGATGTAAATTAAAATAGACAACTGCCTCAATGGACGTAGCCATTTTCTTTTCACATATTTTCTCGTATTTCTGCTTTTTCGTTACTGCTTTTAATCCTTGCCATGGCAAAGAACCCCTGAAGAAATGGAGATGATTCATAATTATTATATGAACTGAATGAGGAATATGAGGATGGACGAGAAAATCAGGTTTTTTTTCGGTTTTATTAACAGAAACTAAGGCTAAAAGGTATAAGTAATCTTAAGAGCTTTGAACCTGAAAAAAATGGACGAAAAAACACTACGAATTCTAATAGTAGTTACTTCAACAAACTTTTGGACATCGTTTTCGAAGCAATTAATGCAAACCTGTTGAAATACATAAGTACATAGCCGAGAGATTCTAAATCGTCCCTTCGTGACTGTTCAATTCCAAGATGGGCATTAATGGATGCATAACGTGCTGTCCCCGTCAGATTCTGAAACTAACTTCTCTCTGTCAAGGAAACAAAAATAACTGAAATTCAGCAAAGTAATTTTCACCACACCAACCTTGTTTTCGCAATAAGGAATATGTGCACGAGTGTGGGAATCGCGATATTTCTTCGCTAAGCCGAAGTCAATCAAAAATACTTTGTTATAGTAGCGACCACTACCCATTAAGAAATTGTCGGGCTGAAAATATATGTATCTATAACACGAAGTGGTAAAGTATACAGATTCTTCAGTGAAAGACATCGTCCGTCCTATACGTAATAATGAATAGCAAACTAAAACCAAACCATAGCGATTGCACATATCAGTTAGGGCTTTCTCGTTAAGAAACATATCGTCAGTCGGACTATCTGACATTTATCACGATAATCTAAATCTTTATATACGTCCTTAGCAAACAAACAAAAAGCAAGGGAAAAGAAAATAAGTTAAAAAACCTTTATGTCCCGATGTATGAAATTTTTGGTGTGTACAAACTGGATACGTCCTATCATTTCATTAGCGAGCATCAGAACAGTCTTCATTGTGAATCGGCGATTACAATAATTAAACAGATCTTCAAGAGACGGACCCAATAAATCCATTACTAATAGGTTGTAATTATTCTCACTGCCATACCTGCATAACCAAAAATAACAGGTGTTTTTACGTATCATTCTAAACTTCTTAAGCAAAACGAGAAAATTTCTTCTATCCAGATTAACATTTCAGTATATGCTTCATTTATAAGACGTAATTAACTAATTTCAAGTTCCGTATACTCTCAATCAATTCCAACCCACTTGCGACTGAAACTTTTGCATTCTCTACAAAAATAGAAAGAAATGTTGGCTTCTCAAACAAACACTGCCAAGCAAGAAGGTTATATTATCACAAAATTTTTTCGCAGTGCTGAAATGTTTCAACTGAGATGTTATCGCCTAATCGTAGTGACACAGGGCTGAAATATGGTTTCTGCTGTTTTTGCCACTGCTTTCTTCATTTATTTCTGTTATTGCAGTTTATTTCCGTAGCAAGCAATTACTTTCACTAACCAAAAAAAAAGTCGTGCAATAAATACATGATGAAGTGAGAAACAGCCTAATGATGAAATTTCTATGGGTACAAAGAAATTTCGCCCAATATACATATTCATTCTGCAAAACGTTACTTAGGGGACATGCAAATGTTCCTTACCATCGTAATCGAGGGAAACCAAAACCTCCGCGCAAAATTTTATAAATTCGGCTTTCATAGAGGAGTTGTGGATGACGAGCCTGCAAACATTTTTCTATCGGTGTTAGAATGAAAATATTACCTAAATGACAGTGGAAGAAGTTTAATAATTATTGACAACCTTTCTTTGGAATAACTACTTAACTCTTCAATAAACTATTCAAACTAAATCAAAGCTTCTTTGAAAGCTTCGGGGGCGAAAGACAATACAGCAGTTTTGGTCCCTAGATTTTAATACTATTTCTTGCTTATCTCTGACCTCTGAATAATCTTATATCAGAACTTTTCTCAGTAAAATGATACAATACATCAACGAACACTTTTAATCTTTGTGATTCTAAAAAATTTGGAAAAAACCTTGGTAGATTCAAGCTTCACAGCTACTTCTTCTCCAGTAGCAATAACGACAGCCAGATAAATATCTCCAAAAGACCCGGCACCAATTTTCCGATGCAGTTTATACTTGGAGGCAATGACACGATCGTCTAGAGTAATCGTTATTCCCGCAGCAGTTTGCGGTAAGTTAGAAGTCGCCGCTGCTATTGCCATTACTACCTTCCTTTGCCTGCCAAAGATGTGAAGTAATTTCATGGTTAATAGTTTTTCACCAGAACGAAATGATGTCACTTTATCTTCCCCCAATGAAGTAGAGCAAATCGGAGACAAAGCACTATCCCTACAGAATAAGTAATTGATGGAACAGAAATGTCCACATGGAGAAACAGATCCTTGAGTTTCCTTTGGTTCATTTAGAATATTTAACCCGAAATATCTTGTTGAGACGATAGCACACATTTTTATAAATACCCCACAAGTTTTCTTTTGAAAGAAACCTCTTTTTTACTGAGAAAGAATTTCAGAGAAAATTTCAACTACAACTACAAAATTTCAACTACACACGTTCATTGCGCAGATTTCCTTTCTATCTTTCTTTGCTCCTAAAATTTTAGCTAAAGTTATTTCTGAGCAAATAAGACTAGAAGTGAAGAGCGATTGTGAGGGAACCTGGTAACAAATCCACTGCAGATAAATTATTACTACCTCCCTGAGCAGGTCATGTCGTAAGGGTAGAATTTCGGCCTCATTTAATGTCATGTTCATAGCCTCAAGATGGAATCCTTATCTTCTAACAAATGTCACGAAGGCACTATTCACCCAGAAGTAGCGAACAATTCAATCTTTTTCGAATACATGGGAAAGTTAAGATAGTACTATCAGCATGGAATCATATTATCAAAATTATTAGACTGGTAATTTCAATCAGGAAATATAAATGAGATCTTTGCCTCTTCGTAGGAAATATCTTAAAAGAGAGCTCTCAATAATAATCCGTTTACAAAAAATCAAAACTTAAATTTGATGAGAGCAAAATTATGCTATCAGTGCGACTAGTGAGAATTTCCTGATCATTACAAGTACCAAAAAAGTAGAATGAAACTTTAACCATTACTGTTTGTAGACTGAGTCCTCCCTTCATAATCTTCACACGATAAACCACTCTGGATTCTGGTGCTAGCAGCAACCACTTCTTGACATTTATCTATTACAAAATCGAAAGGAATTGTCGAAATTCTCGAAGATGCGTCGTCGGCCAACCTTTAATAGACAGTACAACGTCGTCGGCCAACCTTTAACAGACAGTACAACGTCGTCGGCCAACCTTTAATAGACAGTACAACCCAGATATGGTAGCATTAAAATCATTCCCTAACATATTATACGAAAGTTATCGGCTTCAAGTGGAGAATTTCACAAAGAACTAAAAAACAATCGTAAAAAGAGCAAGTCTCTTTTCAAATAATCAAATCAAGTGTTTAAATTTATTTCAAGTTCCCAGTAACTCTAATATTTCACCCGAAGTACACAATAAACATATATGCGTTTCCTTGGACCAGAGAGGAATTAATTTCTCGCAATTTCTACTGCTCCAAATTAATATTCCCGTCCCGAATCAAGAACAAATATTATAAAAACATCTCGCTTTCCAAGACGATTTAGACCACCGCTCCATGCATGCAAAAATTTAGCAAACAATGATTTTTCAAAACGACACAGAAACTCCGAAATGACTTCATGATAATTTAAACTAATAGGGTTCTAAATATTTTTGAAAGATTTAAAGAAATCTGCTTGGTCAATGAAAAACTCTGATAAGCAAATCCACATAACCTATCACTGACCGCATACGTTATATCAAGATGCTTGAGAAGTGAAAGAATAGCAACAAACATTCATAATTTCAAATACCATTGATATGTGTGTGCTGTGTCATACAATGGAAACAGATACAGCTGAAGCTAACTCTTATAAATTGACTGGACAGCGAAGAAAAAGATAGTTATACGTAGAGTGAATGAGGAAAATCGTACAAACTGGACTCTATTTCCCAATAAATTGAAAAAGGAAAAAAGAAGGCCACAAACTTTATAGTGAGGCATAAATGATTTCCCATAATTTAACAAGAAAACAAACAAAAACCGGGAGAAAAACGCATAAAACTAGATCGAAAAGACGTGAAAAAAACCTTACACAACTTTTTAAAAAAGATGACACTTCCAAACATCATGAAGTGAAATAAACTTAGCACTAAATAACTTCTCCAATCCTTGATCTTTGAAACCCACCCTTGGAAAACAGATTTGCGGAGGAAACAACTCCTTTATCTGCTAACAAAGAAAATCTACTTCTATATTCCCAAGTTTATTTTGAACAAACAAAGAAAAGATATAATTCGATTAAAAATCTAACTAACATGGAATACATAAAATTCAGTAGTACTAAAAGAATTAATCTCACTGTGAAAAAAATGCATCCTTGTAATTATCGACAAAATCGGCTAATTTGTGGCTGATATGAACAGGAAAACAAGAAAACAATCCATCTATAAACTATCGATCTCCATAATAGCATCATCCAGCACATAAGTGTGTATTTCCGTGACGTTCATTATAGAAGACGGCAATTTAGTGCTTTGAGCAGTCGTCTCACTCGAGTAATTTCCCGAATCTATTGTGCATGTATCATCCGGGAAAGTAACAAAACCTAAAAATAAAAATAGTATGTATGCCCAAAGCAATATTTTAATATCCAAAAATTTTGTACTTAAAATCCGAATCAACTTTTACCATTATCGTTAGACACGTATCCTACCGCATGTTCAGTATCAATTTCTTTGATCCGTCCAATCATTGCTGGATTATCATAGGATATGGGCGGCACATAAGGTACTAAGGCCATCGATAAAGGACTGAAAAAACAGATTCGAAAATTTAAATAGTTCCGAATTTTTGGGAATCTGATTTAAAAAATAAATAAATAAATGTGGAAATGTAGTCGATTTAGAAGCCTGCACTACGACTAGTCATACATGTTTTTAATGAAAGCTTCTGAACCTAAGTAATGGTTGCACTCAGTGACTTAAAAACGAAGTAAAGAATGAAATGGACCACCTCAAAATAGGAAGATATGAATCGGTACATGCAATAACTTAGTCTGTAAATTCATCCGATATTGAGAGCAAAAACAGATCGTGCTGCCAAGAATAAGGCCTACGAAAATGCACTTGTCTTAAAAAAAGAAAATGGAGTTTTGCAAACAGATTGGCAACACAGTGAAAAACGCACTTGTTAATAGTAATAGGTGGCGCTTTAAGTTCATGCTCGATATACTTCCGTAGCCTCTCGTCTAGAACCAACACTGCATCTTTCTCAATATCTTCCTCACCAGTGTCTTCTGAGTCGCTAAATCATGGACAAATAAATAAGAGATGTTGTCTGGAAAACATTGGTAGTATTCAGAGAACATCAAGGTTAGACTGAGAACAATTTCTAAAGGCGTTGAACAGACAAGGCTGACGTCGAGTGACAACAACAACTTTTGCAGAAGGCTCTGGAAAATTTGTATGAACAATGCAATTGCGTACGGTAGGAGAAAAATTACACTGAAAAACAGATACCTATCTTTAGAATCTAGCACTGATGGGTCAGGATCGCTCGATATGTGGAAATTTTCTAAACGAGCACTAACTTTTTCCATTCTTCGCTTACACAGTGGAGCATCATTCTGTAAACAATTGTTGACTTCTACATACCATTTCATTGGTAATTTTTCCCTCACTAATAATTCTTGTTTACAGCACACATTACTATGTGGCTAAACATTAGATGAACCTAAGTATTTCGAACCGAATTATCCTTCGACAAGACAACTATACGACGACAAAAAATGTTTAGTTACAAATAACGAATCCAACTATTTATCAACAATATGCAATTACATTTCGAAGAAGACCTACTCCGTAAAGAGAACGACGTTTTCGAGAAATATTTTTAAAATTTCCAACATGTACGTCTGCACAATTCTTTTCGAATTCTGTTTCATACTCTTCATTAATCTCCATTTCGACCTGAAAATGATGTAACACAGATTAGAGGAAAGAAGGATATAATACAAAAGGACATAAAGTGGATATGAGGCAATGCGAAATGCACATGCTCCTCCCCACCCACGTGCTAATATCAGCGAATCAAACAGTTAGCCACACTGAATATGTCACGTTTAAACTTTAATCATAAGGATATTACAGGGGAGGTTCCATTAATTCTGATTCATCCGGTAGAATTCTCTCGGTGAGCATCTACTTCTAAAGAATTAAACAATGTGGTTCCTAGGTCTGCGCCTTTGAACGATATTTGAGATTAGTAAAAGTATCGCAAACGCTTTAAATAATATTCAGAAAAATTCCTAGCAAAGAAACATGTTGAATTCTACAGAAGATGTAAAAATCGAAAATACCGTATCTGTAATTACGTTCGATGACACATTCTCTCCGAAGCAGTAATGGTTCGATTGGCTCTGATGTGGTAAGTCTATCGAATAAGGATTCCCACAAATGTTACCGTTTGTAAATGGATTCAGATAAGCACCCGATGATGGTGCTGTCATCGATCTGACAAAAATGAAGGATGTTTGTTTCATTGGGAATATCATGACATGGAATAACTGAAGTTTCACATAAGCGATCGGAAATGATCGATATGAAACAATAAGAATAATAAATAGTTTGGATTTTAAATGTGATTCAGAGGAAATAGTTAGAGTAAATTATAATACTCATACAAATTATCATCGGTTATCCCACAGAAATCAATTCGAATGATTGAAGAGGAAAAAGAGAAGTAATGGATGAAGTAGTGATGAAAGTTAACTGAATAAATCTCCAGCCCGAAAACCTAAAAGAACAAACCTGACCCTCACACGCCAAGACATTCCAGTACTTTTAAAAGAGCCAAGAAATTTTCGAGAAAAGTTCCGGACATCCCTTCTCCATCGCAGTTCTCTTTCTTCAGTCTTCTCCATCTGCCTCTCTCACCACCGCTACACTATTTTTACACCTGCTCGCTCTTTTATCTAAAGGTATTTAGGAGATGAGGATTTATGTACGTTTGATTCTAGATGATTATTTCACAGTAGGAAAGTGGAAGAGAGAAAAGTTAGTCCCACGGTGAGCATAGCTGGGACGTCTGGGCTACTTTTTCATTGTACTGACAAAAGATGGCCAAGGAGATGAGCAAGAAATAATTTACTCTTCCGGAACAGCCTAGCAGGAATGCCTTTTTATGTGAGTATCGAAGTTTAACACAGTTGATTTCTTTTGAGCAAAGACTAACAAAAAGCTGAACTTAAAATTGGTTGTAAAATACGCCAGAGGCTTTATGAACATTTTCCGGGAGTGAAGTATCAGAAACTTGATGTGCAACCTTCTGGAGTGAAACGCCAAATGAAGACGTCCAACATAAAGACTGATGAAAAAGCAGTACTATATGTGGAAGAAACACTTTGTGTAAGAAGTAGAATTTGAATACTTATAAGAAACCATTGAAGTTTGCATTCCGAAATTGTCAATTAACCTATAAATATTGTTCGGAGAGTTCTACCGCTAGTTATTCTGAATACTTTTAATAGCCAAGACAGTTGTTTGTGATAATTGCTCGTAACAAAATGTCAGTGGTTGCAATTTTTGTTCTGCTGCTTATTGCGGCTTTCGCGTATTTTAATTTCGCTAAGGTAGGCTCAATGAACTGTCTTTGGTTCTATCAGGCTTGTTTCAACAATTACCTAGGCTCTAACTTTAGACGAGCATTGACGCTTTCATATTTCTTATAACCTTTTTTTTTTCATGTAGATGCCCTGTTGGAAGTTGCTATCGACTTCTTGGATAGCAGAATTGGCAGGCAGTTTCTAGATGATATGACGAGGCAGTCCCTGAAAGACCATAGTCAATCTCGCCAATAGTTAAATGAAATGGTACAATTGAGCCTCTTTTAAGAAAGTGTTCTGACGTAGGACTTCATTCGAGAGATGAATGACAGTAGGATGGAGATGCAATCCGTTGTTGCAGCATGAATAACTTCTTGCTCTAATTATCAATTCATAAGCTCTCTGAACGCTGACTTCAGTGCTCCAGTCAATATCTGACGATAAACGTATTTCACAACTTCTGAATTTGAATGATTTCAGCTTCGACGCGAGGCTGATGCAATCAAGCCAGAGAGTGCCGAACCACCTACCACTGGAACGCAAAAGGCAGTTATATAACGCTTATTAAATTGTCACTAAGCGACTTTACTCCTTCCCATACTTATTAAGCAGACGCTCACTTCGATCATGGCCGCTTAGTTGTTCGATTTTTGTCTCCAGCTCCTGAGCCTTTTGGAAAAATGCAGTTAAAGACAAGAAGGACATTGCTCCTTCTCCAGTCATAACAATTTAACATTTTTTTTTCTGTAGGCCACACCACAGGAATCCGAAGAACCAGCTCCACCTGCTGAACCATCACTTCCACCACTCTCATCTCTACCTCCACCGCCACCGCCACCGCCACCAACTCCATCGTTATCATCTGAACCGCCACCGTCATTGTCACCCCTCCCACCGCCACCGTCACCATCTTCATCTCCAACACCCGAACAGCCACCACCACTGTCTTCATCGCCAACACCCGAACAGTCACAGCCAGCGTCCTCACTGCCAGCAACCGAACAGCCACCGTTACCGTCCTTATCGCCAGCACCTAAACCGCCTCCATCCTCATCTCCACCCGTTTCTGCTGAACCTCCCCCAGGATCTCTATCGCTACCATCTCCATCGTCTATCCCAACATCTACGGAGTCTGAACCACCAGAAATATCGGAAAAACCGCCTCAACCAGAAATTCCGATTATATCACCGACAACTGATGCACAAACTGCAAAGACACCAGAAGTTCCGACTATGTCGCCAGCTGATACGCATACCGCAAAGGTAAAAATGATTTCCTAAAAAAATCAAACTTAAAATTCAAAAAAAAAACTTGAAATTCATATTAAGGGATTGGAAATTCATGATTCTGTGCTTCATTATTCCTGAATTTCAGGAATTGATGTTATCTAAGCCGGTTGTATCAGCAAGCAGTTCACAGAGGTTTTATCTACTTTGTTTCCGTTAAACACAAACTACCTACCAATATGTTGATTAATAAGTCAAAATTTCCCATTTTCCCATTCATTATTCATTACGTATTTAATGGAATCATGATTTAAAATGATATTTGATAATCTTCAAATGCTTATGTTAATAGACAGTGCTGAAAGAAATAAATTTAATTGCAGCGGGACGATGACAATGGATGGGACGTTGCTAACAGATTCCAGCGCTCCATCTGTAGAATCCAAAGATAAAGATAAGCCGAAGAAGAAGAAGAAAAGTAGGAATTCTCTTTTTTTTTTCTTTTTACTGAGTTTTTTTTTTTCAACTTCCGAAATTAATCGGAATGGAGCGACTAATTTGTTTTTCGATTAAAATATTAAATTATTAACATGTGATAAAACTTAAAGGCAAAAATTTATGTAAATTTCATTTGCATATTGGTTAAAAATGATTCAGTTTTAAACTCCTTTACATGTATTCCCAGTAAGTAATCTTACTTTTGCAGGTAAGAAAAAGAAAGGATCCAAAAGAGGTATGTTTCAGATAATCCTTTACGGCCACTAACTGTAATAACAAATCATGATCTGCTTGGACGGAGCCTGGCAAAACTTTAAGTAGAAATTCTTCAATTATTCCCTGTTTCCGCTGTAATAAAATATCTGACGAAGATCTGTGGAGAATAGCTGAAAATATCGGGTTACCCAACTACCAGCAACTAGTTTATCTGTATTTAAAATTCCAGGCAAAAAGAAGGTATGAACGATTAATGGAAAAAAGCGAAGGGAAACTGATTTAGGTTACTTGCTTCACAGACATCATATATATGCCTATATGTATATATATAACCTCCCATCAATAAAAATTGCTTCGGAAAGCTTACTTCTCGAAAAGGCTAATTGGTATAGCTTGACATCCTTTATTGAGGATAGCCACTTATGTACGAGTCCTACAGAAGAATGACAATAAGATCACATCGTGCAGTATAGTAGATATAAGAGAAAGAATATCTCTTCCAATTCATAAGTGGGACTTTCTCTAGAATACAGTACATGATCTTAATTGTTCTCCTGGATAAATGGCAATACATACGGTACCAGCTAGTTGGTGCCGTAATTTCAACTAATACTTGTTAGCAAGTTTCAACGACTGGAATTAGTCGGTACAAAAATGTACCATCAACTCATATCTGTAGGGAACATATACCTCATCCTCTAACTTTACCGGAGTTTCTCCCCGTTTGTAAAATCACACATCTGTTATCTTGCCATGGTCTTGTGGTGTAGTGGTTATCACGTCTGCTTCACACGCAGAAGGTCGCCGGTTCGATCCCGGCCAAGACCTAGCTGTCTCATCATGTCGATTATGATGAGGACGTCGCGTTTTCTTGCTTGATAGATGGTGGAACACATGAACAAGAAACTAACTCCCAGAAGATTTCAAGTGACGACAATATCTGGTTGCTAGGTTCTTGACTGTAAGACATTCTTATTGATCTACAAATACTTTACATCGAACAAGTGACTGACACTTTCAGATCTGAAACTATCATTGGGATCAAGTCGAAAAATACTCGCCAGTGAATGATTTAAATCCGCAATTTAACTAGGATTTTAGTCAGGCTTCGAAAATTAATTAAAAAACTGTCATAATGATTAAGCTGAGAGTCACTATTCCCGACAAATGATGTTATAATTCTCATTATCGCAGTCATTCTGTTACTATCGCAATCGACAGGCTCTCGAAAAAATGTCAGGATTTGTGTGCAGCATGCGAATTGGCTGGAATAGGATAAACAGATTAGTCAATCACACCTTATCCTGGTTTGTGTAGGTCCGCTTAATCTGAAGTGGTAGTAGTGACCATAAAGGATGTTTTAGCGCAAATGTTTTTTCTAATCTCTTGAGCCATATTGTGTATCCCATTTTTTCTAAATATTCCTTCAAAACGTTCTTAAACGTTTTTAGGAAATATTAGAAGGACAAAGCCGAGTCATAATGTTTTTCCTTCACCATCTGAGAGTTCACTTTTATCAAATTTTTTTATGTGATTTCCGCAAATCACTGAAATACATTTCAAGCATGTCTGTGGGCATATTCATGAATATTTTACACGGAAAAAAGAAGTCAACATTAAATAGTCTAACATTTTCAAGAATTTACAAAAATGCTGAGAAGACTGGGACATTATCATAATTCCAAGTAAATCATGAGTTCGTTAAGCCTTCTCGGGCTTCATTTTCTTCTTTTATTAAATAACAATTAGATCCGCCTTAACTGTTTCCATGCTTTTATCCTACTTCACAGAAAATTTTATCTCTAAATTAAAAATTTTCACAATGTTTCACAACTCATCTTGACGATTTGAAATTAAGCAGCTCCTGGTTTTGACCGAAAAGTATACTGGTGGACCCTCGAGCCTCTACATCAACTAAAACAAAGTTTAAATGAGCTTTATGTTAACATTGCTCTGATAAGTGATCATATCCCAGTCAAACGAATATCCCTGCCAAATGACTGGAAATTTTTGCATTAAATCCATCTTGAATTTTTTCGCAAGAACAATTACACACAATTTTCACTCGTGCGTGACTCATAGTCCCTTTAAGCTTATAAGAACAGAACTTTTGAAGTGAGAATTTTTATCTTAAAGTACACAGTGGTGCTAGAATAAAATCAGAAACATAGGAAAATTAAAAAACTTGCCAAAGAAAAACCGTTATAAAGAAATAATACATACACTATATACAGTAAAAATTGAATACAGTTTTTAGGAATATTGGAAAAGTTTTGGAAGGTATGAACGCCTACCAAGAATAGAGATGAACATAAGAAAATGAAATGAATTCAAAAAAGTCAGCCAAGCTGGTAGGGAACGTTTCAGTACCGTTAATCACTATGCTGAAAGAAAGTTAAATAGGTAGAATCTATCTTGAGATTTGAGTGAACAGTAAAGCATAATACGTTGACTGCTTGGATCTGATAACGCAATGACTTCAGAGTATTATGGATAAACGCAAGATAAGTTATTTTAGTGCTTTAATACAGTAGTGATGACAGAAAAGATCACAACATTTAAATTTTAGGAATAGTGAATGAAAAAGTTAGTTGATTCAAATCAACCTGCAAAATTCACCAGGAGTCGGTTAATAGAGTGACGTTTTCTTCATTACAGTATAAAAATCATCTTCGCAAACATTACCATTACCACGGGTATCAGCTTCCAAAATCATTTCCTATAAAATATAGGATTTGAAGAAGAGGAAGAGTTTGAACAGATTGGTCTGCTTGCCAAACGAACAGTAAGAAATCTCACCAATACGTGATTATGCATGTCAGTAACATCCACATGTCAACATTTAGTACCTAAGTAATCACCTTGGAGTATGAAGAACGATTAATAATATTCTTTCAGTAACAAATGAAAATTAAGACGAGTAATATCAAGGCTGCTTATTATAAAACGTTATAATTTGGATCTTACAAGAAGTGCACTTTTCAAAGCGCAGACAAGCATTTCGCTTCTAACTACAGTGAAAAAGAAATTCTAAAAAAAAATACTGGAAGATTATCACCAGATAGAAAACTGAAGCGACTTCCTGATTGCAGGGTCGGGTTAACTTACTTTTAGTTGGTTTTCTGCTATTGTTTCACCCAGTTCTTCAGCAACTCTTCGCAAATCATCAATTGTGATATACCCTTTGGAATCAGAATCAAACAATTCAAAAGCAGCATGCATTTCTTTAATCCCATTACGTTCATCCAACTTTTCGCTCAACAGATTACTCAGCTCTTTAAATGTAACTTTATCTGGAATAGCAAAATCAACACTGCAAACCCGGCACACTTGAAGAAGTCTTTCGAAAAACATCAAAGTATTTCGCCATTATTAAAATTTTCCGAACTAGATGAGAGAAGAGGGCAAGGAATGCTTTTCTATTCTCGCTTACAGATAGAGAAGTACCACACCCTTTAAATTTTAAACCTACGCATTACATCATTGACACAAACACAAAGTACCTTTTTGCCGTTTTCCATTTTCTTCAATTTTTGCTGTTAAAACTCGTATTTCATCATTTCGTGGTTCGAAACCAAGCGATCGGAGAATAGTCTGAAATGGTAAGGTTTCCTTCCACAGTAGTAGCCATTTTCATTAATAATTTCGAACCTGATTGAAGTCCGATTAACACACTTTCATTTCCAGAAGAACTATTTTCCATTCCAAAGGATCGATAATGATACGATAACTGTAAAAAAAACATAAAGTTAACCTTGAGATTTTTGATGGATGTTGTTCCAGTGCCTCTTGGATCACATTTTGAAAATGCTTCCTGCAATTCACGCCGTGAATATTCGCTGATCGTTTGTTGAGATGCTGCCGTACATTGAAACCCGACGACATTAGCCATAATTGACAGCAACTAATCGTTTCGGTTCGTAGCTGTGAGTTAAACTGGTAAGTTATCAGAGAGAGAGAAAGAGAATGACATCGATAAACTGCCTGACTATGTGTACAATCTAATATTTTTTCTTCGCTGGCTCTTCAGATAAGTATTGAAAATTAGCCAGTAGATAGGTATGCAAAAGGTACAAAAATCTGCGATAAAATGAAATGAAATGAGACTTGATACGTCTTAATACTTCCCTGTTACTAAATTTAATTGGCCAAATTTTTGTTTCAAAAAGGGAAGTAAGGAAGAGCCCACTAACGCTAAAAATTATTTATCAAATTTCAGAAAATCCCGGAAATCACTGTCGCCCCCTCGTATCAACAAACTCAACAGACATGTTCCATCAAAGTGACGAAACGATGCCTCCTTTGCTGTCTTTTAGGATACATTCATTGCACAACCTGTGTCTCAGTAAGACAATTTGTTAATCTTCAAGTGAAAGCAGTAAGTGAGCTTGATACCAACCGGATTATTCACCATTTTCAAGAAGGTCGGAATTTTTGCATTTCGAGCTTTATGGATGATGGACATTCTGCTGATGACTATATAATCTTTCTTAAGGGACATCCGTGCAAATTTCCTACTCTTTCGGAGGTTTCTGGACAGTCGGCAAGAAAGGTATAAATAATTTCCTTATCCGTGTTACCTCAGGATAACTTACTTGAATGATTAATGGACTTGATGTTATCCTCCTTTTCTTGCTGTCTATTCAATAATTTTAGGAAGTAGCGCAATTTGTGCGCGAATACTTTGCTTCTGCTACTGTTAGTCATATGCTGCTGGATAAGATAGTCTCATTCTGCGAGGACTCATCGCAGCAACAAATTCTTGGTGATATCCTTTGTACCATATCGTCTCACGTCAGAAAGTGTCACTTTCGGAAGTCAAATCATAATGCTTTGAAATATATCGTTGAACAAGTATGTTGCATTTCATCGGGATTTTTGTTAGGGAGAATGTAAGTATTACTCGGATTCATTTACCGTGCTATTTTTTCTCATAATCTTCTCCATGTATTTGCATCGAATTTCGAAATAAATGAAAAGTCTTTTTTATATTCAGCTGGAAATACGACATGCTGAAATTGGCTGGCAGTTGTACAGTTGTTTGACTAATTCTATTATGGACAAAACAGCACATGTAGATAGAGTTTATTTCGATGAATATTTCTCGAAGTACATCATTGTGCAAGAGAACCGTTATCAGTTATCACAAGGAACTACTGGCCTTTCTTGTTGGCAGGTATTTTCTGTTTACTTTTAAAATCCTATTAGGTCACGTTTGATAGATTTTTAAGGCCAGTGATGGTTCGCTTTAATGAAAAAGAAAAAGAAATATGAAATAAAAAAAGATAAGTGAGAAAGTAGTGGCCGAAGAACAAAAACACTGGAAAAATAAGCCAAGTTGTTTCTAGCTTGCGATGTTTCTTGCTTGCAGGCATCATGTGATCTAGCGAATTATTTGTTGAAACACGGTCGTGATTATATTAGCGGACGTAATATTTTAGAACTAGGTGCCGGTTGTGGACTTCTTGGTATTGCACTTGCTGCTTCTGGTTTTACCAAAAGCATTACACTTTCTGACGGATGTGTTGATGTATTGAATGTAATCCGCGATAATATTTGGTCAAATTTTTCAGAGGTATGTTACTTCAAAATATTGAGAGTAGAAGTGCTCGAGTAATAATGACAATATACTAGTATGTTGAATTATATTCTTCACTTCCACTCTATAGTATGCATCTGATGTGTTTGAAGAATGAAATAACAGTTTGAAGTACTACCGACCATTCACGATTAATGTTCGGTTATTCATACTAAAAAAAATTAGATGAAGATTTAAAAAGCATCTTTTTTCAGAATTGTGACATATTTAACGTTATTTTTCTTGAATGGGAAACCGTAAATGTGGAAAATATTCCTGTTGTACCAGATGTTATCTTTGCGGCAGGTTCAGATTTTACATTAGCTAAAAGTTTTGAAAAAGGTTTTGTTGTGTTATTAGGCGTGCATTCACTATTAATCGACTCAATATTTGAAATGAAATTAACTTTTTAGATGTCGTTTACGACACACTGACAATAAAACCACTCGTCCGTACCATCAGAAAACTTCTTGTTGCATTTACAAAAGAAATCAAAACTGGTCCGTTTTGTCTGCTAGCAAATACAATAAGAAATCAAGAGACTATGGATCAATTCTTAGCTTGTGCAGGTAGAGTTTGACAGTAGTCATGTGATGCATCTTGATCCGATGGCAGCGAAGTGCACAACGACTATATAACCTAGATTACCTTTCTGAAAAATGCTGAAAATTTTCACGTTCCTCTTGTAATCAAATTCTGTTCTAATCCACCCAAATAGGCTGTCGATGATTTTTTCAAGGTTTGAATCACTTGGCTATTTTTGTTACTCGACACTTTTCAGGCGAAAACGGACTTTCAGTGAGAAATTGTTTTATTTACGAGAACAGTGTCTTTAAATTTGCTACTAGAAATGTAGAAGACCATTCACTATTCCCTTTCACAAGTAGTATTCAGTGTCCCACAATATTTCATGAACTAATATTGAAGGATTGAAACAACATATAAATGGTTTGTTGGTTTACAATTTCTTTAAATTGAATGCTTCGTTATTTCTGGAATCTTGGGATAATGATATCAGCAGTATGATAAGTTTTTATTATGACATTGATATTCAGTCACTTCTCGATGGTTCATGCTTATTATAATTTAAGTGCAGATCATTAGGTTTATGATGACTAACAACTTGATTTCGTATTATATTTCAGGTAATATTTGCATTCGCAGGAATGCTAACACTGATCAGAAATCACTTCAAAGTGCGTAAACACCCATATGATGAGTTGAAGAAGATTCGGGGAATTTGAAAAGACGAAAAAATACTTTTAATCGTTTATGAATAAAGTTCTGTAGTCTGCTCATTTTTCTTTAGCAATAATTGGGGTCGTGATTACCTATTATCGTTCTCGCTTTATTTTTCACAGGATTGATTATCGGATATTGTGAAGGTGGAGGGAGTGATTGCTCAGAATGTTTTGTTTGTCTTTGGAATTAATTTAAAAAATCGTTAACTGCCGGTACTATATGGTGTCATTTAACTGCATCTTACAGATCTTGTCTAAATGGAGGGGGAAAGGCATTGTCTCTTACAGATCTTTATCGTTGGTGAGAGCTGTATGGTCTGACAGAAGTTATTTTGGACTATGAATCCCAACACTAAGTTCTTGTTGCATAAGCAGTACGGATAAATAAACATAGCAAAGATGTTATCATGAACAAGAAATGAAACCTATAATGAATCATTGATATGATTGATGTTTCATTCATTCACATGCGCTTCAAAAAATCCAGCAACATTACTAGCTCTCACATTCACACATTTCACTTCTTGCTGCTCTATCTGGTCATTAATGTTGCCTGTTAGTTGATTAATTGGTATTATTCGGAATGTCTTGTTTACATTTCAAATAATTCTACAAGACCTGTTTCTGAATCAGTTGGAGCTTGTATTTCCGCCATTTGAGTTTGAAGAAAAAGAGCACATCTTCAGTTACTTCACATCCAAAGTAACTTAGTGTTAAATCAGAAAAAGTCTAAATTTTGAATCAGGAGATGTGTAATGTAGATTACTGTTCATGTTCACAGAAAACTGTTCCACCGTATTTTGGTTGCGTCTATGTTCCATTCTTGAAGACACATACACCCATTCCTGAAGACGCAGACCTCGTTTTAAGAACGGGACAGTGTACGTTTTCCAATGATTAAATGCTTTGTTTTTACTAACTAATGCCTGTTTTTATATTGTTTTCAGCCTTCGACTACGAAGTTAATAGAAATGTTTGTACCACGTGAACTCGAAGTCGGTGGTGATGCTGCTATGCAACAAGTGGAAGAACGCCGACGAGCGCAGTTAGAAACTAGAAATGATGCTCTACGTTTTCTGTTAATTCCGGTTACTTTGGAACTTGGTATGTAATGAGTTTAGAATTTTCATCATCAATAGAACCATACTTGGATTTAAGTTAATTGTGTCTGCAATGAGAATAAATGAGCGTCTTTCAAGAGTTTCCGTTCTATTGCTTTATCTGAGATATAGCTTGGTAAAAAAAATCAAGATTTTGCGCTGGGAATGTTTTAGGAAAGTTCAGGTTTCTTTAGGTCTTCAAGTTATATGAACTCTGCATTCACTTCCCCATCCGTCTTGAAAAGCAAATTTCAGGAGCTCATTTCTGTGCCTTGGTGCTTGGTTGGGACTGGATCTGCATATGAATTCAATAGAACACTCAATTGGATATGTGATTTGGCAAATTTACTATCTTCTCTAGAGATTTATTATTTTTGAGATGATTGTCTAGTTACGTTTTATTTTCAGTTTTGAGCTTTTAGATTATTTCTATAATTTCATGATCTGAGAGATGGTTTCCCGCCACATGTACGTGTTTTTCCAGTGTCATTTTTTTAATACCTTTTGAATGCCCTGTTATGGTTGTTGTTCATATAAAATTTCTTCCTCAAACCTAATTTTTTTATCATTTTCGAATGTAGTGAACACATGGGAAATACATCTGAATTTTCGAAAGCCGTGTTGAGAACGAAATTAACACTGTAGTTCACGTGGATTATCAACGTAGGAGTTGCATATCCTTCCAGTCTTATCGTGTTTGGTGGCATTCAAGAAAATAAAATTAGGTAGTGCAATATGCAGAATTGTCTCTCTTTGGTATTTTGAAGTGTTATTTTGGAGTCAGTAAAAAGGAGATTTTGCTAATTCATTTTTCTGGCTTATGATACTGCTTCATGATTGTTAGAAGTGACAGTTTGTTGGAGAGAAAATTCACCGATCATTTTCAATAGCATAGATCTTATTTTTCTCACGGCCAAGTAATTTAGAACTTTGAGGATGTGAGAATAGCATTTTCGAAAAGGCATCTAAATGACGAAATAACGGTGCTGACGAAAAACTTGAGCGAGTGGGATATATTGCAAGCTATGCATATGATGTCGTGACTTCCAGGGATGGCTTCTTCATTGCAAAACTTTAATATGTTTCAGACAATCATTTTTATCCAGTAAGTAACCATTTCAATCAAGATGTCGATTTTGGCAAAAATTGCAGAAATCGAAGCCGAGGTAATGATAAGTTGATTAAATTTGGTGTATAAATTTAGATTGTTCATTGTGTGAATTCTTATAATCATGGAAGATATTTTCAGAATTTTTGCGAGTGATTCACGTCTGGAATTTGGTAAAGTAAGTATTATAAAGCCGAGAAGAGGGTCTTGTGAAGTATCTCATTCTGTTTTAGATGGGTCGCACGCAAAAAAACAAAGCCACGATGGGTCATTTGGGTATGCTAAAAGCACGTATAGCGAAGTTGCGGCGGGAATTGATAACACCAAAAGGTGGGAGTGGTAGCTCAAGCGAAGGCTTTGATGTTGCTAAAACGGGCGACGCACGAATTGGATTTGTGGGTTAGTTTCTTTTTTTTTCTATTTTTGTGATTGTGTTTAACAGAAAAGAAATAAAATCACCAATATATTAGAGGTTACCGGTAGCTGGTAAGGCATTGTTCTTTATATCAAAATAACGGTATTTGTTATAGCAATATTTCAATTGTAACCGAATCTTTGTATTTAACGCTCATGACCGCTGCTTAATTTCTGTTTAACCCTAATACACCACAGTTGCCTCTTCACAACGTTCACAAAATAACAAATAATTACAGCTTAAGTATTTTAATATTGCTCGGATAAGATATTATGGAAATCGTTTGTTCACACCATTTAGTACCATCGATTTTTTTTCTGGAAAATTTTTGTAGTTTCCTTAGTCACTATCAGCTTTTATCAGCATGAATCAATATCATTGCAACTAAAATACTGTTAAAATGTCAGCTTTATAAATCTTCAACACATTTAATCTACTCATCCATTACATCTTTTTTTTTAAAGTTAAGGTCTAATAATAAACTGGATAAATTTTTTAGCACATTTTTCCAACAGCTTTCCTTTTGATATTGCTTTTTATGGATTTCTTTAAAATTTTTTTTAGAAATTTTAAGTTCATTTATTGTAAAGTTAAGCTTTGTTTTGTATTTTCCCTTGTCGAGCAATTTATTCAAGTTTACTTTAATATCTCATCATAAAACAAACCCACACAGATATTATGCAAAGTTTTTATTGGTAGATCATATCACATATTATTTGTGACATTAGCAACTTTATTGAAGCATTCTTTAAAGCACGGACACTATTCAAAGAATGATAATGATTAAGTGATTGGAATATAAAGAATACATATAACTACACAATCAAAGACTGATTTCATTTTTATTTGGCCATATTTCTCAAGGCTAAATTTTATGAAATATTGTTTGGATCCTAATTTTCAAATTTCCAATCATTTTTTTCCCTCATCTCTTATTTCGTGGTCATTTCTGACAGAGAGCAAGTAAACTTTTCATTATTTATCTGAGCAAAATTTCCATTATGTATATAATATAAAGTTAGGATTTGGAAGACTGATCATGGAATTCAGAAGCAAACAACTTTTCGAAGGTTTCCATTCGTGTTTAACGGACTTTTTCCAAATTTATTGTTTAAATTGCAAATTACAAAGTTTCATCTTTTTAAATAATCTGAGAAATGGTCAATTTGGAAGGCCCAGAAAACGCTTAGTTTGTTTCCGTTAACGACGTGTCTTCCCAGGAGCAAATATTAAATCCTTAGTTATAATTTGTTAAAAAATAAAAGTGGTTTGACGTAGTTCCTATCATTTCAACTTTTTGCTGCTATGAAATGAAAAGGAGGGAAAAATTTACAAAAAAATGAAAGATTGAATCTGTGCTTCGCACATTTGTACTCTTGCTGTGTCATCATGAAATGATATATATATGTATATATATATATATATATATATATATATATATATATATATATATATATATATATATATATATA